CACATCTCTGTAAGGAAAGTACAAAGTAGGAAAAGAGTAGAGGTAAAGTCAAAGGAAGGAAACTGAAGCAGAAGGCTTGACATTTCCTCTAGAGTACAGAGGAGGATCAGAGCCAGTCTGTCTCAGTGAAACCTCATCTCCAAGTCTTAAAGAATGGCCACCAGACTAGTGCTTCTTAAATGGTGAAATGAGTTCCGCATTTTATTATAGGAATGTGTATTTTCTAAGTCTAAGCTAGATTTCACTTAAGAACCATTTTACAGAAGTTTAAATTAAAGTCTGCTAGGGATATTCTATTATTATTTTCTCTAGTGCTATTGTCTAAATAGAAGCAAGGAGTACCAGTATCTTTACCAATTATTTTAAATTCAACAGGTACAAGAATAAATAATAAAAATGAACCATTAAAGAAACATCACGACCTTATAATTTTCCCATGTTTTAACTTAGGTTTAACATTACTTTAAGAGACAAGGCAATTAAAAACAATGGGAAAATCACAAGCAACTATCACAAGTAATTACAAGCAACTAAAAAAGACAAAGCAAAGTTTGAAGCATAAAAATTCGCTACCTAAATAAGTACCAGTCCAGAGTCTATGAAACAAAAGCAAAGCAAATTCTTACCTCTGTCCAATGATTTTGGTGGAAGACCTCCAAGTGATATAGGGGAAGGAAACTCTTGAATTACTATATGTTCAGTACCATTTTATGTTCTCTAAAATCAAAGAATGAATTTTAACAGAGGTTAAGAGTAGAATACATTTATTGAGAGAAAGAATGCTTCTGTCTGAGAGACAGAAGGGGTCCTGAGTGGGTTACCAAAGACTGTTTTTTTTCTAGGAACTTTTGTAGAATAAAATCATGAGATTAGCTGGGTCCATGATGTGGAAAAATGGGAACTTGCAAGGTGAGCATTAAGTGGGACAGGGCTGTAGTCAACCAATAATATCAATTGTTTAGGTGAAACTGAACAAATGTGGTAGTGAGTCACATAGTAATCGGGCATGCTTAACAGCAGTGACTCTTCCTGTAGTGGGGAGGGATGTTGACTCCTGATTTCCTCAAGGTGATAGAGAACTATTTGGACTATCAATCCTTAGGATGTCATTGTATTTGCTTTGCATTTGGTCTTGAGATCTGGCCCACAGCAAGAGGTGACTGTTTCCTCCAAGGCTGCAAATATCTAAACCTCTGCACTGACTCCTTTGAGGGCTCAGCCCTGTCTGATTGATTACCTTTAATATTTCTAACTACCTCAGCCACCTGTGACAAGAGCAATTTCCTGTACCTTAAGGCACCTTGGGCTGTATTATGGTGATATCCTTAATACTCTCATTTAGTCAAGGCTCTCTCTCCAGACAATTCCTATATTAAGGTAATACCCTTAAGTATACTCATTCTGTAAGAGCCTCCTTCCCTGGTTCCTGGAAGGTTTCTATTGTTTTAACCTGTCTGTCAATATATGATTCAATATATGTAACCAATCATGTAATGTTTGTCACTTGCTTTTTACCTCCCACTTCTAATTCTATATGGACTAAACTCCTTCCTGATTCAGGGTGGCTGCTTGGGAGGACTTATCCCTGCAACAGTCCACTGGTGTGAACTCCGCACATTCTACTGGTGTAAAGACTAAATGCTGCCTTCTTATCTTCTCAGTGCAAAGAGTCTTACTTTTGATTTGGTTTAGTTTGGTTTGGCTTGAGAATTTTCCCACCACACTGTGAAAGCTTTGAGATTATTGCTCCTTCCCTATAAGTAACGTAAATGAGTTTGGTTCTCTGAAAGTCTTTCAAGGAACTTTCAAAGAGAACCAAGAATAACAAAACAGTCCATTTTTTCCTTAATTGAAGAATCTATAAGGTTTTAGTCAGTTATTAACACACATATAACAGACGGATGAGCAAACATATATACTGTACTTGGTCATGAGTTTTTGATGAATCAGATACAACTGTAATTTTAGATTATGACATAGCCCATATCCACAGCTGTCATTATTCCTCTTTTCTTTTTCTCCTCATTTCTGTGTTCTTTATAAAGAAGGGGAAAAAGAATTGGGTGGCTCTACACACCTCTTTGGGCTGCATTTTCTTCCTGTTGGAATCTACGGTGAGGGCCCTCTCACTGGGACAAGAACAGGGTATTGGTCCTAAGACAGCAAACTGAAGAGGGTCAATGGAACATAGAGACTTCCACTCAAGAAAGTCTTTGAGACTAAAGAAAAATTGAACGTGAGTCACTTTTGCCTGCATTGTTATTTTCTAAAACATGTCTAATTGTTTATATTTTAATGTATATCTCATACTTGGCCATATTTTTGGTTGACCAGAGGTGTCCTGGTCAAGTCTAAATGATATTGATGTTTTCTCTTGAGTCTTTGGGATTTTTTCTGCAATGCTTAGAGGACACATTGGGGAGTGAGTGTGGTAGACTAAGAAGAGAAAGACTGAGTGAGGGCCTGTCTACATTTTGGGCAATATCTAAAGTAAAATTGCTTTTGGTTTCAAGGATAAAAGTGGAGAAGAAAGCTTACCTAGGAAGCAAACTGCTGGGCTCTGTGTTGCTACCTAGACATCCTTCTTTTTCTTTTTTTGTGAAGCAGATATTGCACGTCTCTTGTTTCACCAGAAGCCTGAGTACAGCCTGGATCTTCCTCCCTCTCCCTACAATCTGTCATTTATCTGCACTTTATACCAGTTGGGGGACTTGAGGTCAGCTTTCTATGCTTGTCTATATTGCTCTCCTGGGAATTGGAACAGGGTTCAGGTGATCCTTTCTATGCCCCTATTAATAATGATTGCTGTATGTCTTAAATACAGAGCTTCCTAGAATGGAGCATTTCTCTTGTAAATGAGTTTGTCTTTCAAGGGCTGATTTTGATACTGATTCTAGGTTTTGGGGGAGTATGCTGGGAGTGAATGGTTCTCATTGGAGATGTGGCCACACACCAGTTGCATTGCCATAGAGTTGGCAGGAGGAGTGAGTAGTGGGTTTTGCCTTTGTTGTTCTCTGTGTATTGCCAAGGCAGAGTTCTCAAGAGGGAGGAATCTAGCCACACCCTTGTTTTCATGTTATTTTTGAGCAAACAGTGACAATAGTAATAAGATACACAGGAAAAATCCCAAGCTGTGGAGGAGAACTATCACCTCTAGGGATAGACAGATGTAGGTAATATCCCAGAAAAAATTTCTCTGAAAGGCCCTAGGGCAAAGAGATCTCTGAGACATTTTGTTCAAGCTATCTAAACACCCAGGTAATTTTTCCAGCAGCAGGATAAGTTAGGATTATTTAAAACCCACTCTGAAAATTTTTATTCTGGTGTCTGTAATAATCTTAGAATATAACAGATTGAAATCAAATGTAGATTGAAGCCCATATCATTATTTAGTAAGCAATAATTATAAATTAGCAAAGTCACATTTCTCAGCTTTCTCCATCACTCACATATGAATAATGTAGTTGTTGGAAAGAAAATTTTATCTTAAATCTTTATTGTATAATTTTAAACATTCTCATTTTAGTTAAAATTTTAAAGTGTACAAAGGGCATTCTAATATTTCTTTTTGGATCAAGTCCCAAGCCACCAGAGTGGCCAGTTTCAACTCAGTGGAAGTGGTAAGGTGTTACCATTTTAAAAAAATGTACTCTCTGAAATATGTTCTTTTTGAAAGTTGGTCTTCTTATAGCCCACCTACCTTTATGGAGCCAGGATATGTTCCACTAACCTGTGGCTAACAGTTCCAGACTGGACACTTACTATCTTTAAACATCTTCTTTTATATTGTGCATATCAAGAAACCTAGTGTTGTGGCATGATGGGATGTATGCATTGCTCCTCACTTGGAACAAGCAACTGTTCAGGCAATAAACCCTCAGCTTTAGTAATGAAGTGAAGAATGGAAGCTTAAAGTAAAAAGAGTAGATTTTTGGGCAAAATATGGAAAAAAGGATCAACAGCTGTCCTTGGAGACTAGAGATATAAGAAGTGAAAAATTCTATATTTTTTACTCATTTTCTTTTTACTTATGACTACTGATTCTCCCATTCAGATATCTGGAACAGGTCTTCTGATTGGCTCTCTCACTGTGTTTGACTTGAACCTCAGCACCTCTACATAGGTATATACTTTCTGGTCTTTGAGTTTCTCTGTACCTTTGTGAAGGCTAAGTGTATGCTGGGGGAGTTACAGTTAACAATTAAGTTAAAGGGACATGTGTGCTTTTTATACATTAAATAAGTGCCCTTTGGTGACTGCTTCTTATGTCCTTGCATTTTATCAGAGTTGGGTGAGGGGGTTGTTTGCCCTACCCTTTATGTTCTCACATACATCTCTGTTTTGCCTTGCTGACTCTTCCTGGTAAACGTTTAGTAAAATTGTTTGGATACCTAACATCTTCCCAGTCTTCATTTCTCATTCTCTCTCTCTAACTTTGCCTTTCTAATTCCTCGAATCTAAATGCAGATGCAAAAATTGCCTTTGGTAAGTATTCCCATTAATTTCTTTAATAAATCTGTATGAGAGATTATTTGTCATTTTTCCTGCCAATGATCCTCTGTTCTTCCATAACATGTAAAAAAACTTTAGTATATCTCTCCTTTGACTGTAAAATTTGTCTATTGTCTAGATGAAATACAACCAATTTGAAAGCTATCATTATTTTTTTCTAGATGGATACACTACTGTAGTTCACTAATTTTACTTAAAATTGTTACACTTTTATATTTATATTTTATTTTCAAAACTGTTAATTTAAATATTAGTTTTTACCTATCATAATATTTAAAATTTTACTATAAGTATATGAAACCCATATTTTACAACTATTTATTTTGCCCCCTGAACCAGAGACAGATAGGAACACTTCCAACCAATAATGTTGACAACGTTCCCTTCTCTTGCATCCTTTCCTATGTCAGTAAGTTAATATTTGATTTTTTTGACATCTACATTGCCCCTTCACCCTCGTACACACATCTCTTCAGAGCAGTATGTTGGGAGAGGCCAGCATGGCTCCTGGGAAGTTGGCTTCTGCAGTCCTGCTGCTGCTGCTCTGCTGTGCCGGCTCTGGATTCTGTGGGAAGGTGCTGGTGTGGCCGTGTGAAATGAGCCACTGGCTCAATTTAAAGACTCTTCTTGAGGAGCTTGTGAAAAGAGGACATGAGGTGACGGTTCTGACTCTTTCAAACAATTTGTTTATTGACTACAACAGACATCCTGCTTTTAATTTTGAAGTGATCCCTGTACCAACTGACAAAAACATGTCTGAGAATATACTAAATGAGTTTATAGAACTAGCTGTGAATGTCATGCCAACAATGCCTCTCTGGCAATCAGGAAAACTACTGCAACAATTCTTTGTTCAGATAACTGAAGACTTAGGACTTAACTGTAGAAATACAGTCTACAACCAGTCGCTCATGAAGAAGCTCCGGGACTCCAAGTATGATGTGTTGGTTACAGACCCTGTGATACCCTGTGGGGAGCTGGTGGCTGAGATGCTTGGGGTTCCTTTTGTGAACATGCTAAAGTTCTCCATGGGTCATACCATAGAGAAATACTGTGGGCAGCTTCCAGCTCCACCTTCCTATGTGCCTGTTCCCCTGGGGGGACTCACAACCAGAATGACATTTATGGAAAGGGTGAAGAATATGGTGTTTTCAGTTTTGTTTGACTTCTGGATCCAGCAGTATGACTATAAGTTTTGGGATCAGTTTTACAGTGAAGCTTTAGGTAAGAGACTGAAATTTATGTTAAACTACTTTTCAGTGTCATTTAGGAAATGGAAGAAAAATGTTTTCAAAACTTCTACTTTCTCATAAAACTATAAAGAATAATGTCTGTTCATTAACATAATTAGGAAGGGAATTCAAGACTTCTTTTGCAATATAAAAAATAAATAAAAGCAAACGCTTTTATTTTTCAAGTGCTTTTGCAAGAGACCTTATACTTTACAGATATATTTTAAAAGCAAACAACTAAAAATCATGCAGAAAAACAGATTAATCCAATAAATGATATCCATTTTTGTCACATAAAAGACAGAAAATTCCTGTAGTACATGTGTTTCCTGGACATAAAATTTATTATTAGACAAGAAGTTTTAATGTCAGGTGCAATAGTAAGAAAATGTGGCTCAACTTCAGGATTAAACTGACATGAACTATTTTGAGCATGGTATTATGTATGTGATATATTATGTGGTCTGAACTTTATTCTATACATTTCAATGAATACATGATTGTTAGTATCCATGTAATATCACTTCTCAGTTAAGTACCTTATCTGTGCTTTATTTGAATTTGCTATATATCAAGGCATTATTAGATGAATAGAAAGATAGCTAGCTAGACTGATTATCTAACTCTCCTCTGTTCTTTGTTTGGATATTTTTTTCCTTATTTAACTGAAATAGTTTAAAATACTTTTCAACTAATATACCTTTAATACATATTTTTGATTTTTTTCATACTGAGATTTTTCACAGTACTGCAAGATGAAAGATTTGACTTAAAATTTTTATTTTTTGCCTTTTTGTATTAGACAGTTCTATTTGTAACTTATTATTAGTAGTAAACATTATGCACAAATATTGAATATTGCTGATGTCTAAAATGACCTTTGTATTTTTCTCTTTTTCCTGTTAATAAGGTGATTAATATATAATTATTTTAAATTTTAATCATTTTTTCATATCTTATAACCAATCTTCCTTGAATCATTTTATATTAAATGTTAATCATTTTATATTAAAATTGATTTTTAATTTTTATTTCTATTTTACAAATAGCCATTTCACAATTACATCACCTACTTCATTTTTCTTAGTTTTCTCTCTCTCTCTCTCTCTCTGTTTATTTATTTACTTATTTACTTAATTATCTGTTTGAGATAAGGTCTGTATGCAATTCAGTCTGGTCTTGAGCTCATTTTTTTAGCCCCACCTAGTCTTGATTTTGCCGTGATCCTGCCTCAGCCTCCCAATTGCTGGGATTACAGGTGTGCACCACAATACTCAGCACATTTTACTTTTTAAAACTGGAGATTTTACATATTAACTTTTACACATGACATTTGAAAGAACTTAATACTTACGTTGTAATAGGTAGCTATCTGTATCAATAGAGGTAACATGACCTATGCTACAAGATTAGTAACTGTAAACTCTTATCTATATCCATGACAGGAAGGTCTGTCTATATATAAAATTTTCCTTTATAATCTTGTAATCAAAAGCCATCTCTGTAGGTTAATCATATAGCCTTAAAATAATAGACTACAATATGTATTCAAATTTAGTAATAATACAATTTTACATTTATATAAAAAAGCACTATATAAATAGAAATATAACCATACATACTTATCCACTGTATTTATAAGTACTACATATGAATAATACAATTACAAGAAATTCAGTTAATAAGTATTTAATTGAAATAATGAATTTGTTAATTATACATCGACATATTTATGCATATATATTAATTGTACAAATGTAATTCTAGAAAATATAATTAGACTATTGTACACAATGTTTTTAACTATATTATATAAATAATATAATTAAGAAAATAATTAAGGATAAATTTTAATTTAGCATTTTTCATAATCCCTAAATAAAATTTTTAAAATACCTCAAGAAATTGTTTGCCAAGATGTTTATATTTTTGATAAAATTTATTTTCTTTTGATTTTATTGACTTCATGTTTGCATTAGTCAAACCAGTGTTTTAAATATGAAATTTTAATGGATAATTTAAGGAAGAACTCTCTTAACTTTTCATCTAGAATTTATATACAGAAATGTAAATAGGTCATTTACAATTAAGGCGGGTGTAGCATGGTTGAAATAAGGCATCTAGGTGGCATAAATAAATTGCTGTAGAATATAAGGTGAAATCCTCACCCAATTTTTGGCAGTTCCAAACTGAGCATTCTTGGGCAATGCTAGTTCATTGTTAAACTAAAGCATGAGGCCATAAAAATGTATGCATGTATTCAAAAATTATTAAATGATGAATATAAAAACAGGCTACAGTTTTAGTTGTTTATGATCATCACTATTCCTAACTAGACCATAAGTTAGAAAGGAGTATCCTTTTAATTTTTTAGTTTGAGAACACAGTTTTTATATATAAAGATAATTCCTTTTATTATTCACAAACACATTCTTCTTCACAAAACTGTGACACTAATAACTAGAAATATGTCTCTTAAGAAACATTATTTAAGAGCAGCATTAAGTATGTAATATTGGTGATGTTTCTGTATTTATCTCATATCTCCAAGAGGTGTATATTGAGTCTAAATTAATGAGGGACGTCTTATTTTTATGAAGTAGAAGAAAGACAGATCAATTTGGAAGATGTGATTTGATTCATGAGGAAATGATGAACTGCTTTTTGTTGTGTCTATCAATAGTGTGTGTGACCACTGACTACCAAAACCTGTAAAACAAATGCATACTCCTGAATGGAAACTGAAAAGTAATTGAGGGTGGTGAGTTGGGGCCTATTTGAGGGAGGAATTCTTCTGCCATTTAATTAGGAAGCAATACTTAGTGCTAAACTTATCAATAGCTATAGGTGTATTTAAATTTTGCATTGTTTATTGTCAAATGACACATATTTCTTTTCATTCACTACCCTTCATTCCCACTTTATCCCTTTGGCTCACATCCTGTCCTTCCTCTCCCACTCCTCTTCCTGCCCCATCTTCTCCATTTTAACATAAAATTATTTTAGAAGTCCTCAATTTTTTCTGTAATGGCTGGTAAGGAAATTATTGGTAATTTTTTCACCAGTAACAATATATACTAATTTTCTCAATCTGAATTTCATTTTCTTCAGGAAGACCAACTACATTATGTGAGATTATGGGTAAAGCTGAAATTTGGCTAATCCGGACATACTGGGATTTTGAATTTCCTCGTCCATATTTGCCTAATTTTGAATTTGTTGGAGGACTGCACTGCAAACCTGCCAAACCTTTACCTAAGGTAAATCTATGATGATGAATGTTTTATTCACATTAAAATACTTGAATTTCCTTTAGTGTGCAGTATCAATATGGGGATGTTTTGCTGAATGTCTTAAAATGTCTCTGCAAATTTATTTCCCTCAGCACTGTCTCTTTTGTCTACTTGTAGTGAGAGATGAAATGTTTCCAGAAATATACCAAAACTATTTGTATCTAGAGTTTGCATACGGAAGTAGAGAGATGGAAAGCCAGGCATGGAGATCACTATGGAGATGGTAAAGGGAGAATTACCAAACAGTTTAATAAATAATGATGTTTTCATGAGAGCTCTTGGTGAATTGCATAGATTTTGAGAAGAGAAAAAAAATTGCTCACAGAAAACACTGAATCTGACAGCACTCCAAGATTTCTAAGTTTAGGAACCTACTTAAATAGTGTTGACTTTGCTATCTGAGGAAATAATCAGTGGAAAAAATATTTGGAGTTGAGCGTGATAAGGGTAGACTCTGATCTGTTTACTTCTAGGAGCCAAAGACATTGCTAGATGATTTCTAGAAATACTATGGGTAGTAAATGACCTGTGTCCACAGACAGCATTAGAAATCACATGGAGTCTTCAAATTAAGAGACTCAATTATTTTTTGGATTATTCATGACTGTGAAGTCACAACTTCACAAAAAATGAAAGACATAGAAAATATTTCAAAGTACTCCATTAATAGCAAGATGACAGTAATGTTGATAGAGCAGTACTGAGAAGCAAAAGAAAGCAACAGAGTAAAATAAAGTAACAGCACTGCATCAATTATTAATAGGGATCGAGGAGGCAAATACTCATTTACTTGGTTTTGAAGTCCATGCGTAAAATCTCTTTAGAAGTTTGAAGGTTGAAGTTTGTTCCCAGGAGAATTTTTGATTTCTGTTTAGGATAGAGAAGTCATATATAAACATAAAGTTTCATTTCAGGGTGCTGGTTGTATTTTACCAAGTTCTGGGTGTAAATTTATTGAGTATGGTTGAATAGGATTTAATAAAGCAACAGGTAAAAATACGTGGCAAGAAACATGACTCATGTGTAGGTACTGGATAATACTCCATGACCCATATGATGTCCACCTTCTACCCTTGCTCCCCCCACACACACACCTTCAGAAGGCAAGTCAAACATGTTTCATAAGAGTAATAATTGATTCCATTCCAAAATTGGCTTATTTACTGGAATAGATTGAGCAATATCAATGAGAGCAGTGGATTAGAACTGGGATCGAATCATCAGTCTATAGAAAGAAGAAATAATAAGAGGTCAAAGTGATAGTAGGGGAGTGGAAAAAAGGAATCCCGTTATGCATAGAAACAAATTTCATATTATATATGTGATCGTTATGTATACTTAAGACATACCAACAAAATTAACTAATCAAAAAAAAATAGAGACTAACTTAAAAAACCCTATTAAGATCCTATTTAAAAAAAAAAACAGTGTGGGGGATATGTATCCTTCTGTGTGTGTTATTTTCATCAGTGTATCATCATTTGGATGTGAACAAATTGGCAAAATACAAAATACCAGGACTCATGAGTATTGTTCTGCCTTTAGCTAGCCTTAAAATAGCCATCTTCTTCCACTGAAGGTTGCATCCTCACCTAATATTTAGAAGTACATTTATCTCAGTGTGACTACAGTAGTTGCAGACAAAGGACAATCAGGGATGCATCTCTGAATGGGGAGTTTATGGAGAACCCTCTGTGAATCCTTCCAATCCCACACTTTGCAATGTGTTATTTACAAAACTGTAAATGATGACTCATGAAATTTTTTGTTTCAAGATCTTATGTTTTATTTCAAATCAATAGACTACAACTAGCATCATTCTAGGTGGTATTTTTTAAATCAACATGGCAAGAATTGCTGCCTCACAAATATCACTATAATAGGAGCAGATTAACTGTGATGTGATATTACCATATATAGTATTTCTAATAAAGTTTTTCTTAGCCTTATTAATAATATAAAAAACAACATTGAGAAAATTAATTTGGTACAGTGCCTAAAATGAGAATAGATAAATTTGTTAATCATTCTTTCTCTCACATGGGAATAATTTTCATAGTTGTCTCATTATTAAAGTATGCTACTAACACATAATGGAGAGGGTAACTTTGAGAAGTTAGGACATGAATTTACTACATCTTGCTCATTTCTGTCCTAGCACCTTTACTGTCTTTCTTTCCCTTTCTAACTCATTCACTTCCTCCTCATCAAGAGTCTAGTGCTTTCTTCTGTCATCTCTTTCTCTCTCTCTTATCTCATATAAAAGAAAACATTCAATTTTTAACTTTCTAAGTCATCTAACTTGCCATTCTCTAATTCCATCCATTTTCATGCACGTGACACGATTTCTTCTTCCCTGTGGCACTATTCCATTTTGTATATGCATCACATTTCGAACTATTAGTCTATTCATGGGAATACTATTTCCATAATATTTCCATAGCTTAGATACTGTGACTTGCACTGGTGTAAACTGGATATTCATGCATCACTACAGTATTCTGATTTTAGTTGTTTCTGTAATATAACAGGAAGTGAAATTACATGGGTTGCTCAATGTTTTTGAACTCTATAATGATTTCCATAGTGGATGTATGAGTTTGAATTGTCAACAGCAATCCAAGAAGGAAGGTCCTTCTACCCCCGTATTCAAGCTGGATTTCATGGTGGTTTATTTATTTATTTATTTATATTGTTAAAAGTAGTTATTTTGATTGGGTAATGTGGAAACTAAAAATCATTTGATTTGCATTTCTCTGGCTGATAAAGTTGTTGAAGGTTTTTCCATTTGTAAGTCTTCTTTTGATAAGTGTGTATTCAGATTTTTTGACATTTTGAGGGGTGATTTCTAGCGTTAATTGCCTTGAAATAGTCAATATATTATAGAGAATAACCCTGGAAATTAATACCATTGACAATAGATTTACAAACATTAAATATATAACAATCAATTTAAACAAGAGGGCAAAATTAAAAATAAATTATAAATAAATAATTTTGTTTAGTCTTCCAGCAATTTGAAAGTTACTGGTTTTTTTTAGCAATTCTTCACCCATTTTCATTTTATTTTAGTGTATTATGAAGATTAAGAATGAAGTTCAAATTTTCCTCTATGTGTAAACCTCAGTATCCCCAGTTGTGTCTGTCACAGTATCTGTCAGTTCTCCAGCACATACTTTTTGTCCATTTGTCAAAAATAAGATGTTTGTAGATGCATGTGCCTGTTTGTGTCTCCTCCTGCTATCCTTGCTCCACTCCCATCTTTTTAATGGAGAGAAGTGATGTCTCCAGGAAATGGAAGAATTTGTCCAGAGTTCAGGTGAAGATGGTGTGGTGGTGTTTTCTCTGGGGTCCATGGTGAAAAATCTCACAGAGGAAAAAGCCAATCTCATTGCTTCAGCCCTTGCGCAGATTCCACAGAAGGTCAGTATACCCTCTGGCCCTGCTGAACAGCTTATACTAGATGTTGAGAAATGAGAACAAATTGTACTCTGTCCTGCGAAAAGTTAAATTCACTGTGCACTGAGCATAACTGACAAAAGCTTTAAACAGGAACATGAATAACATTAAAATAGGAAGTTTAGTCACATGTCATCATCTGCCACATTGATCACTGTCACATTGATATTACTATGGAAACATACTTCAGTGATCACATATGTTTAATGGAACATAGGCGAAAGTATTAGGCTATTCTAAATATTTTCATTGGAGCTAACTACTATAAAAGTTATTACTGCTGTGGTCCCAAAAAACAAATTATACATTGAATAGAGGAGAAATGCTCAATAAATTACTCCATATTTATGCATTTTATATTCTATCAAGTCAAAATTGAATTTAAAGTAGAAATCTATATTTCCTTATATTTTCAATTGAATATTCTAAGGTTAAAATTAGTTGAAATTCTAATATAATTGCTAAATAGTGTGATTTTTCTAATTTATGCTATTGAAGTAATCAGAAATTATAATCTTCAATTCTTTCCATTCATGTATTTGTTAACTTTCATACAATGTACATAAGTCCATGTTCTAAATGTGCATTTTAAGATAGAGGAGACATTACTACATCTATATTTTTAAGCTTTTCACCTTTTAGTTTTGGATTTAAAAGTTACCTTTCCCAAGGGAAAAAAATACTATGCAAATTTCATTAGAATTTAAGCAAAATATGTTTTTAAAATGTAACATAGACAAATAAAATAATTCTGCTCAGTTAAGCAAAAGGAAGGAGAGATGCAGGAGAAGGAAAGGAAGTGAGAAAGCAAGAAAGAATGAAAGGAAGGATGTAAGCAAAGAAGAAAGAGGACGATAGAAAGAGAAAGGACACAAGAAAGTAAGGAGAGAGGGATGCATGAAGACAGAAATGGAAGAAGAAGAAAGGAAAGAGGAAGGGAAACATGGAGTGGAAGAAGAAAACACAAGATTCACGGAACCTAAAGAAAAACTTGGTCGAAGTATTACATTTGAGAGCAAATATGACTAAATTACATTTAATAATCAATCATAGCATACATGTTTTTCTGCATGTCTTAAATCCTCATATGCCACTCCATTGTTTATTTTCTACTTTCATATGTGATTGAACTCCAAACTGCATTTAAATGATTAATATCAAAATAAGAGCTGTGTATTTCCTAAGTCATAAATACCAAAATAATAGTACTGCCCATAGCAGCATATTAGTGCAGTCTTTTCCAACAAGTAGATATAAGCAGTCTAACTCTGTATCTTCACGTTTGCAAATTATTACTAAAATTTCCTCCCCTCAAATATCACTTGAAACATAATGACTGTGATTTCTTAATAATTCTGCAGCATTAGCACACTCGCAGGTTTTCTATTTTGACTTGCACAGTTACATCACTGTCTCCCACAGGTTTTATGGAGATACAAGGGAAAGAAGCCAGCCACTTTAGGACCCAATACTCGGCTGTTTGATTGGATTCCCCAGAATGATCTTCTTGGTAAGACTCTGAGAGGAGAAGAGCTGTGCAGTTGGACAGCAGATGAATTCAGCAGTGATTTAAGAGCAAGAGCATTAACCACATTTAACTTCTTGAACATTTTACCTTTGAAATACAGTTTTAACGTAGAGATAATGAACTGGCCATTAATTTTACTGATGTAAGCTTTCTTTGGTTCCTACAAGAGCAACTTTAGTTGAGAAGCTCATCAGCCTTGGAGTTTCCATTGTATGTAATCACCCTTAGTGAGGCCTCCCTTATAGAAAGGAAGGAGCTAGGTTCTGCTCCTGTTAGCATTACACCTTTCTAGGGTAACAATGTCTTCAGCATCTGTAGAAAATATTGCCTTCATTGACTTATAAAATTCCTAGAGGGTAGGGATTTACCTCAGCGGCATAAGCTCCTCCCTTGTCATAGCGAGGTCTTGAGTGCGATCCCTGGTAACAATAAAAAAGAAAGAAAGAAATTCCATTTGCTTTTTCTCTCTCTTAAATTCTTCTAATGTGTTATTTGTGGATCCACACTTATTTCTAAGACTAAACCTATTTCTAAACCAGGCCACCCCAAGACCAAAGCTTTCATCACTCATGGTGGATCTAATGGGATATATGAAGCTATTTATCATGGGGTCCCCATGGTGGGAATGCCCATATTTTCTGATCAGCCTGACAACCTCGCTGGCATGAAGGCCAAAGGAGCAGCTGTGGAGGTCAACATGAACACAATGACAAGTGCAGACCTGCTGGGTGCCTTGAGGACAGTCATCAATGACCCTACGTAAGTACTGCTGTTATGAAGACTGACCTTCCATCCATCATGATTTGCATTCTGCTGGTAAATTTGGATCGTTTCATATCTTTGTAATTAGTTTACTTGTCGGTAATGTAATAAGCTAACGCTAGTATATCTACTATGGAATCACTTATTTAACTTCAACTAGTTATGTGCTTTGTTAAGATTGGGAAACTCAGAAAAAGGAGATCGAGGAGGATATCAAAAAGTGCAAAGATTATACCTTGCTTTTGGGTAGGAAGTACCAAAATAATGAAAATGGCTGTACTCCCCAAATTGCTACCCAAATAAATGCATTTCCAATAAAGATACCATTAGCATGCCTCACAAAACTAGAGAAAAATTCCTAAAATTCATTTGGAATCTAAAATACTAAAAACAATTCTTAGCAAGAAATGCAAGGCAGGGGAAATTACAATCCCTCACTTAGAATTAAGCTGCAAATCTACAATGATAAAATCCACTTAGTATAGGGAAAAAAAGAACTGAATGCATAAGAAGATGCAGAAGCAATGCTGAACACAATCAATCACCTTATCTTTAACAAGGTGGCCAAGCACATTTATTGCTATTGTGCTTCTCTTAGGGACTATAATAATGGAAACATGTTTTTCTTTACTTTTCCAACTCAAAGTATATGCAGTTGGATATTCCATATTGTAAATTATCCTTGCATTTTCATTTAGTGATGATCTGGCTGACAGAGATAAAATTTTTAAATTATAAATATCAAAATTATGAGAAGTAAATTAGTAAATTTAATTTAGAGTAAAAAAGTAATTAGTAAAAAGATCTCAGAACCCATAAAATGACACATAAACATTTATGTAAGTTGCCTATTTCTGTAAAACAAACTATTTAGAGGTTAATGGCTATGATATGGATGTTTTAAATGGCATTCCATAATTCTAAATCATTCATCATTGTGGCTTTAGAACATTGCTGGATACTATAGTTTACACAAATTTTTAACAGGAAAACTAAGCCATACATATAGAACTGAATAGTCTTTATTTTCCTTTGACTGCGTTTGGGATCATTGGGTTAGGAACATATTTCTTTCACACATTCTTGTCTTTTTCTACCTGTAAAATTCTAAGTTAACAAAACTACTGCAATAAACTTTTTCAGAATCTCTGTTTGACTTTTGACTCCTATAACAACATATGTCACATACTTACATTCAATGAAAGCAATCAACTTTTTCTATTCTCCCTCTAGTTATAAAGAGAATGCCATGAAGTTATCAAGAATTCACCATGACCAGCCAGTGAAGCCCCTGGACCGAGCAGCTTTCTGGGTTGAGTTTGTCATGCACCATAAAGGGGCCAAGCACCTGCGGGTTGCAGCCCATGACCTCTCCTGGTTCCAGTACCACTCTTTGGATGTGATTGGGTTCCTGCTGGCCTGTGTAGCAAGTGCTATATTGCTGGTCACAAAATGTTGCTTATTTTCCTTTCAAAACTTTATTAAGATAGGAAAGAGAATAAAGAAGGAATAGATCATTCTAAATTGTTTAAGTGCTGAACTGGGCTGTCCAATTAATTTCAGCCCAAAAGAGTTCACTGAGAACCCAACCTAATCTTATTTTTAAATATCCTTTTTTATTTCTGTGAACACTGAGGATATTTTTAACAAATGTTAATAAATTTTGGAAAAATTATTCATATTCATGTGGTTTGTGTTGGTGTCTTTCCTAGAGAGAAAGTCTAGGATTCAACATGATTATTTTTCTTTTGCCTTTTCCCCTGGTGCTTTACCAAGGATTTATTAATCTTAAATACATTCTATTCACAGTACTATTAAAATTTGATTTCAAGATATATATGAATAATGTTTAGAATCCTTGGAAACCACACAATGTACATGAAATTTGATGAGTGGAGGGAACACACAAGATTCACACTTCCACTTCTCCATAGAACATAAAGTCAAGGAATCACCATCACAAGACATCAGTGTATTAGGGAAGAGTAATGGTTTTCTTTGATAATAAAGCAACCTATTTAGTTTGCCAGACATTATGGGAATTTATAAATTTCACTGTAATAGTGTATCACATTATGAGAGATCTATCTCCATACTTTTTATTGAGCACATTTACATACAATCTACTTTCCTGCTAATTTTTCAACAAATTTTCTTGATTGCCCTTTGTGAATCATAGCCTTTGGTTCATTAAATTTCTAAAAGTGAGTGGATTTAATGATTGTTTTCCCTAATACAAAATGCTAAATTTCAACAAAATATTTGTTAACAACAGAAATATCAAAGTATATATGTTGTGAAATTTTTAACTTACAAAAATACTAATCAGCTAGTGTTAATGTTTTATTAAAAATTAGAAGAGTATAATATAGAATCAGTATTTATAATAATTTTAATTTTCTGTACAGAATAAAAATTTAGAATTTGAGACTATGCTATGTTATTTCCAAACTGGCTGGAATGAATTCAGTTGGTCAATTTGTGTTTTCAATATGTTATCCTAATATTTTGACCAAGAATATGGTAAAACATGATGTATTGGGTCCCAGGCTTAGGATTGCTGATCTGTCCAGTGAAAACATCATTGGAATAAAAGATGGGAAAAAAACATATATTTTAGTTACCTGGGATGCCAGAATCCTTAAAGCCCAATGACAGGTTAGGATGATGTAGCATGGAGTCTTTGGCTTTTATAAATGTACAGCTTGATTGGGGATGTGCTGGTGGGCCGCAGAGAGCATGAGGGTCAACTTCTGATGCAGTCATGGTTCAAGATTTGAGGAACAATTTATTTTGGAATATTACACTAGAGTAAATCAGCTAGTAACCAGATTTTCTGATAACTGTGATTACTGAGTGTCTTGGTTACTTTTCTCTTACTGCTGAGACAAAATACCTGACATTCACAATTAAGGAAGAATAAGATTATTTAATTCACCATTTGTAGAGTTTTCAATCTATAAATAATCCACTAGTTTCAAGACAGAATACTGTGAAAGAGGGGCAACATTTCCCAGTGGCAGGATACAGCAAAAGCAGGAGGAGTAAAAGTATCAAAAGGAGGAATCAGCCTCTTTTCCTTCTTTATACTGTATGGAGACTTCCCACCTCAGGGAGGGTGTACAGCATCCACACCTTCAATCCCATCTATTGAAAGTGAATCAATCACAAAGTCTGCATTCAGTCACCTCTAAAAATTCACTCCTCATGACTGCATGAGGCTTTGAGGGGGACACAAATCATAGCATTCCATCACTGTCTCCCCAAGGATTCATATATCTTCCTTTATGCAAAACATGTTTAGTTCATCTCCAAGTGTGCCACAGTCCTAACATTTTCAGCATTGCTGAAAAATTCAAGTACCAAGATATAACACAAAGTCTTAGCTTTGGGCCCTTGTACAGATGAAAAATTAAACCTTTCTAACATTCAGTGACAGAAAATAGACATAACCATTCCAAAAGGTACAAAAAAGAGAATACAAAGGAATGAGCCCAAAGCAAGCCTAACAACTAGCAGGGCAAACATTATATCCTATATTTCCATGTGGAATATCCAAAGCATTCTGCGGCAAGTTGTAAGCTCCAAAGCATTTGCATGATTCCAGCCTATTGTACCTCAGGTGTTGAACTCCCACAGTTTCTCTTAGGACAACCCTATTCCTTCAGGGTAGATTTCCTCAGACAATCCACAATGCTGGATTCTCCAAAGTGCACCTTTGGTTTACACTTACAGCTTCAAACATTGCCCTCTAAGGAACACACTGCCTGGCCATCTAGACCTTCTGAAATCTAGATAGAAGCCTTCTTAATCTCATAAATCTTGCATTCTGCATTCATCTAAAACTAGCAACACAAAAAAAGAGGCCAAGGTCTGTTGCCAGGTGGATGAATGGCCAGACTTTCTTATTTCTTGGCTATAGGGCTCAAGTACCTGGATTGTTGAACACTCTGAATATGAATCCAAACCTGAGGAAAGTAGGCCACCACTATTTTGGAACATGATGATCAGTAAATTTCTCCTCTCTGCAAAGTCTTCACTTTTTGTTGTTTTGAGGTTGCAAAGTCTGGAGACTTATAGCTTCTTTAATGCCTGAAGTCCATCTTTTGTTCTTCTATTACTTCTCAGCAGTAAAGATCTCCTCTGCTCAATCTTTGCAGTACAAAACTTTAGTGAAGCTTCCTTTCTGGAAAAATTCACAAAATTTGAATCATCTTGATGAAGTCTATCCTCATTATTTTCAACATAAATCTGGCTAAAACTCAACAGTAGCAGAAAACCATAATGATTTTACCATGAAAAATTAATAACGTGACAATTTTTAAAGTTTCAATATATAAAATTGACATGTACAATTCAATGTTATTTATTGTATTTTGAAATAAATATTTAAAAATGAAGTAAAAATTCCTTTTATAACATTAGAATAGATATGATATATAAGAAGTTGTTTAATTTAGAAGACAAAAGACCTGTGGCCAGAAGAGTATAAATATTGAGAAAAGAAATTGAAGCAGATCAAAATTAGAATTAGGGAGAATGTACCCCATGTCTATAGATTGGAAATTACATGCTGTTAAAATGCCCAAATTACTTACAGAAATACAGATTCAAAAAATTCAGTGAAATGTATTTTGATACTCAAAAATAATTTTCATAAAAATAGCAAAACTATTTCTAAGATAACATATCATAAATAATTCCCAAGTAGTCAAGAAAACATGAGTAACACAAAACTTAAGCCAATTAAATGCCTGACAAACAAATCACACTATAAAACACACTGAAGTAAATCAAACAGCATGTTATTGACAAAAAGTACAAGTTAAAAATACACACAAAAGTGATATCTTTATCTTTATATTCAGTGAGTCCTAAAGAAAATTTCTAAGTGTACACCATTGATTAAGAAGAATGTGTTTAACAAAATATTGCTGGAAAAAATATGTCCTCCTGTGAATAAGTAAAACTGACCTTAAATTCACAAAAATACAAAGAAAACAAGCTTAAATAAAGTGAAGATTTAATATAAATATAGCATAAAATGTAAAATTACTACATGAAAGGATATCTAAAAATGGTTTTTGACACTGGTCTGAACAATGACCCTTTCTTGAATATGACCTCAGAACCAAAGCCAACAAAATGAAAATTAAAATGTTTTAAGTTTCTACATGGCAAGGGAAGTAATAATCAATGAATAAAAAAGTTTAAGTATTGGATGAAATATTTAAAATCTTATGGCTGAATCTAGAGCTTGTGATTGGTTTATTCTCTAGTGCTGAAAATGGTGAATTTGAGTGCTACACTGTCCAAGGGTGGGTGCAATGCACATAATATAAGGGAGGAAACGAGTCTGCCTTCCTCACTTTTTGTTTTGGTTGCTCTTGGTATCTTATACCACCATTAAAATGCACCTCAGCCGTGCCACCCTGCCGTGGAGTCAACAGATTATGAGCTGAAACCTCTACAGACTGTGAGGCAAGTACACCTTTCTTCTTTAAATTTGGGTGTTAGATATTTTTCTCAGCAATGACAAAATTAAGCAAGATAACAGGTAATTAAAAATTAAACTCAGAATGTATTATCAACCTCCTGAGCCTAGTCCAGTGCATCTGGAAGCTGGGTGGTCACTTAACACAGGGAGTGATGGTCTCAAACTCTCCCCAGGCCAGTTGCCACACTCTGGAACTCACCTTGTGTGGCCTCAGCTCCCCAGGTTCTGATGCATATTAGTATTTTACTGTTTCTCTTGGTATCATCTTGAAACTGCTGGATTGCCATTTCATGCTGCTTTGTTATTTTAAAAGTTCTATTCTTTCATGGTTGCTAATTAGGATCCTGTACATCAAGGTCCAAAATTGTATCCTGAGCTTCATTTAAATTGTTTTGCCAGCTTTCAATAGATTTTTTTTGTTTCTTGGATGTCTTTTTGAATTTATTTCGTGAATTCTGCTTGTTTTCTATATTGTTCATTCAAAGTTTCATTGAGTTTCCCATGCTCTTGTACTTTATTTGTTTCTTCTTTAGCTGTGCTGATCAACTCCTTTACTAAGGTTGTTTTTTAAATGAGAGATTACTTCTAATTTGATTTCCACTATAGCCTCATGGAGTTGTTTTTTTATTTCACTTGTTATCTTTCCAGAGATTTCCTGTGTGTTACTGAAGTCCTCTATTTCAATGTCTCCTGTACTTGCTGCTGGTGGACTCGATGTTTGAGATTGCAGCTGTTTTTTCAGTTTGCCATTTTGTCCTTTCAGGTTAATATTTGGTTCTTCAATCCCCTAGTGCCAACTTGTAGTGTGTATCTTGGGCTCCTTCTGTAATGTTGATGTTTGTCGAACTGCTGGGTCCTACAATGAAGAGGTAGGCCAGTCCCTGAATTCCTCCTACAGGGCCTGTTGGGTGAGTCCTATGGTCTTCTTAGGCTTACGAGCCTAGGAGTACTGATGGAAATCAATCCCTAGTTCCTGCTGTTATTATGTCTTCAGATTGTTCAGAGTCACCAGATCTCCCTGTTTACAGTATTTGTCTCTGCTGGGACCGTGCTGTGTCTCTGGGTGTCCCACTGACCCCTTAATTTTCTCCAGGTTGGGAGACGTCTTGTTGGCACCTTCCTCAATGTACTTGATATTCTCAGTGTGGAGGAAGGACTCATCCACCCCCTTGCCAAGCTCAGCTATGGCCTACTTCTGGAGGGGGCTTCTCTATTGTTCTTGTTTACCCACTGAAGGTGCCAAACTCTAGTCCTATTTTAGGGGTAAACTCACCTCACTGATAGAAGCCCGCTGGGTTCTTCTTACTGAGTCTCTCCTCGATCCTGCATCTTTAGTTCTCTGCAGTCCAAGGTTCTGGGGGTGGTGTGGGAGCAGAAGATGAATAGCAATGCTAGGTCCAGGAGAAGGGGGGTTCCAAATGGCAATGGTGGGACTGCAGGGACGCACATCATGGGTTGGAGTTTGTAGATCCTGAGGTGGGTGGCCAGGACTACAGGACACAGGAGGGGCCTGATTCTGGCCCAGCCTTGTGGGCACTGCTGGCTGGTGTTCCCAGGTCCCACAGGTCACCTGCAGAGATGGTGGGAGTGGCAGGAGGGCTAGGTGCTTGTGCGGTCCCATGCGTGCCTCTGGCTGGATTTCCTGCGTCTCACAAGGTCTTCTGTGGAGATGGCTAGAGTCCCAGGAAGGGACTGCTCTAGCACAGCCCCATTCACACCTGTTTCTGGAGTTCCCTAGTCCACGAGATCATCTGTGGAGATGGCTTGAGTTCCAGGAGGGGCTCTGCTCTAGCACGGCCCCATGCACACTATGGTTGGAGTTCCTGGGTCCCACAAGGTTGTCTGTACAGACTGCATAAGTCGCAGGATGGGCCCTGGTCTAGCTTCTTTCAATGCGTGCTTCTGGAAGAAGTGAGGGATCCCACAAGGCC